TGCCCTACGTACACAACCCACCTGGTGTGCGGGCATCCAGAATGGGCTCATGGCGCATCGGGCACCACACCACATCGTGCACCATGCTGGTGCACCACAAAGACTTCAAAAGACAAAAATTTGTCACACACAGCTGAGTGGGGAGCAGCAGATCCAGGCTGTATTACCTCCGAAGATTGAGGCCTCCTCTCATACAGCAGCATATATGCGCTGTTTGGCCTATCAAATTCCTGGAATCAGCAAAATAAACAGAGAAAATGCGCCTAAACCATTAGACGGCAACCAAGTGCTCAAATGTTGAAACCTTACATCCCGTTAGACAGCATACAGCAACAAGACACACATCCCATCTTTATTTCGAACGTCAAGAATGCAGAACCACGTCAAGCATACAGCAACAAAACACTGACCCGATTGGCATGCGGAGGATCAGAAAAACAGACAAGGAAAACGAACTCTAACAGAGTCGAACATTCCCCATCTCCCCCACACATTCCTCTACTCCAGCCCCTCTCCATGAAGAAAAGGAGAATTTGGAAGAACCATAATAGAGCTGTGATAGAACGCTAATAGAACAACTAGAAAACCATTTATTGCACCCATGCACAATGCAATGCACATAGTATTTCGCTTAAGCCTGGATAGTACCACATCTAGTCCTATAGTACCACACCCAGCCACATAGTACTGCACCCAGCCCACACAGTACTGCATGCATGCCACATAGTACTCCACCTCACAAAACTAGTACCAACCACACCCAAATCATATAGCACTGCATACAGCCGGTGGTACCACAACGACCCCACGTATCATTGCACCTCGCTCATAGGTCAGAAAGTACTGCACCCAGAACGCTAATAGAACCACCAGACGACCATTTATTGCACCCACGCACATAGTACTGCGCTTAGCCTGGATAGTACCACATCTAGTCCTTTAGTACCACACCCAGCCACATAGTACTGCACCCAGCCCACACAGTACGGCATGCATGCCACATGGCACTCCTCGCACACAGTACTGCATCCATGCCACATAGTACTCCACCTCAAAAAAATAGTACCAGCCACACCCAAATCATATAGCACTGCATACAGCCGGTGGTACCGCATTGAGCCCACATACTAGTTCACCCGCTCATAGCTCACAAAGTACTGCACCCAGAGCGCACAGTGCTGCACCCAGTCCACATGCACCGCTCCCAGTACGCATAGTGGTGCATCCAGCCCACATAGGAGTCCACAGTATTGCACCAAGCCCATATCAGTGATTCCAACCCACAGCCCACTGCACCCTGCTCACAGCCCACCACACCTAGCCCACTCCACAGGACTCTACTCATAGCCCACCATACCTACTTTCCAGCCCAGCACACATAGCAAGAAAGAGAGAGAGAGATAGAGACAGAGAGGGAGAGATTGCATTTGAGGTCTGTCTACGTCTGTTTTTTAGATCCACAATTGAACAGCCTTACCTTATAATCTTCTGTCATTGACAGGTTTTGAAATGGTCATTTCATGTTGTATTCTGACATATCCAAGGTCCACCACATGTGTTACTCTAGCGTGGAATGTGTACACACCTCTTTACTGCCTGAAGCAAAGCATGAGTGTGTGATTTTAATCAGTTCGGGGAGGAGTACATCTTACATTGGCGTGACGCTTGATTTCCCCCCAGTCAGTGGCAAACTTTCATGACCACAGTACTTTCAGAGAGCACTGCTCTCACTGACAGATATCTGAGGCACATCGTTGGTTGAGGGATTCGTTGGGCAGGGAAAGGGATTATTTTCAAGGCTGAATTTCCAGTCCCACCAGGGCCCCATTCCCCAACCAGAACCGGGCCGGTGGTACCGGCCGCCGGTTCTCCCCCGGTGGAAATTTGCGCAATTCGACGGAAGGGGGGGGGCTCAATTTTTTTCGGGGCCGGTAGGCCTCCATGCGGGTCGTGGAGGCCTCCCGGCCCCGAAAAAAAACAAACCGGGTCCTGTAGGCCCGCCAGAATGCTCAAAAACTGGCGGCCTATCTGGGCCGTCGATCTAGTCAGATCTGCGGCCCAGATAGGCCGCCAGTTTTTGAACATTCGGGCGGCAAACCGCCCGAAGTTCTTGGAGGCGAACAACGATCCCCAAGCACCGGCCCAACATCCCCGCCTCCTGCCTCTGCTTTCGAACAACCATCCCCAAGACCCGTCACTTCGACACTTCGTCGAAAGTGAGCGAGGTCAAGAATGCGTCGGCCCCAAGTCCATCTGCAAGCCGTCAGCCCCCCCCACGTCCGCCCTGGCCTCGGATCGGCTTCGCCCTGGCCCACCGTCCATTGGTAACGGTGAGTCTGTCTGTTTCTTCTTCTTCGTACTACCTTCTTCTTCTTCTTCTTCTTTTTCTTCTTCTTCTATTCTTCTTCTTCTTCTTACTATCTCCTTCTTCTTCTTCTGGCAGAGCCGAAGTCCGAAGTTTGCGAAATAGAGAGAGAGAGAGAGAAGTAGTGGGCACGTGCGGGGGAGGGTAGTGGGCGCGCGGTAAATAGTGGGCGCGCGCGGGGAGAGAGAGAGAGAGAGAGAGAGCAAGCGAGCGAGCGAGCGAGATAGATAGATAGATAGATAGATAGATAGATAGATAGATAGAGAGAGAGAGAGAGAGAGAGAGAGAGAGAGAGAGAGAGCGGGGCGGGGGGAGTGGATGTGCGCAGAGGAAGGTGGTGGGTGTGCGCCCACCATCAACCCATGAATTTCCATAGATGGGAGTTATCTCATCTACACGTGTGTGTACGCGAAGACGTGAGTGCACGTATAACCATAACGCCAGAAACTGTATCATTGTCGTGATTAATCTTTCTCTTTGACACATGAGTGCACGTGTATGTACAGAAGAAGCGATGCTTGAAAAAATCGAAAAAAGTATCATTGTCGTGATTAATCTTTCTCTAGCTAGCGAGCCTACGGTCTTTGACAGGGAGGTGTACGCCGTTGCCCAATTGTAGTGTGAGTCAATCCCCTTCCCACATGGTCTCCTGGATGTGCCACGCATGTACTACCTTATTCTGTGCATTCAATTGAGTCTTCCAATGGAGTCTTTTATGCAGCCCTTTCCACAGGATCGACGTTGGCTTTCCAACAGGTCCAGCCTTTGGTTCAGACATGCTAGTAGAAGGGATCGAAAGGCGAGGAGAGAGGGAGAAGAGGAAGGGCAGAGCATGAGGGACGGCCGAAGTAGAAGGAGGCACACCAACCTGTGGTGATGTTGTCTTCAGGAAGTTATCATAGACTTCCACAGTGTACTTTCCTCCAAAGCAATCTTTTTCGAGGTCGCTGATGTCATAAGGTTCCACTCTTTTGTCATCAAATGCCATCCACCTGCTATACGAACCCCAGGAGTAGCACGCACCAAAATCCAGCGGGCCCCACAAAATGGAGCCAGATAAAATAATTTCAATACGAACGAGCCTTAACCTCCATATTCCATTGCGAAAGATGTCCACATGCCCAGTACTTCCCAGAGAGTGAGCATATATGCAAAATTCCATCTCCCTAACAATTTACACCCAAAAAATGATGTCTCTGCTTGCAATTAAACCAACACTACCTTGCATTTCATCCACAGCTGTTTGGACTTGTGATTGCAGTTAATGACTGTATTGGCCCTCGATAATGGTCCTATTGGCGCAGCGGTCAGAACACTTCTTTCTAATATCTGTCCAGCCATTATTTGCACACCAGACCACACTTTTTCTGTTTTGTCCTTCATTTCATCGGTCACCAGTTTGGGATATCATTGGACATGCTCTGGAGCAGGCTGTGCAACAATCGCATTAGCTGGAGCCGCATTGGCAAACACGTTAGTTCTTTGGCAAACACGTTTAGTTCTTTCTTCTCCTCTATAATCGAGTTCTTCCCATGACTCCATAAAGGCCTAGACTCTTTCAAGTGTTCAACAAGCAGATGGACATGTCATTAATTACAACAATTTCTGACCCATATGCACCCAGTTTTTTTGCATTCTGTCCATTGAGTGAAATGCTTGCTAAATGCAGATTCACAACTCCATCCTCGTTCAGAGTAAGGTCAAGACTACCTACCCACCAGGGTGGTCCGGGCAATTCAAAGGTCCATCACCATCTCTTTCCTTGATGTATGAGTAGTAATGGCCTGCAAAGGCAGTTCCAGAGTGAACCACAACACCCATTAACTCATACATGTAATACCAGCTGGGGCGCTCCAGAATAAGAACCTGGTCAGACCCGGTGTCCACCACAGTATCTACATCCCCCATGAGCTGACTCTCCCGTAAAGAGTCCACGCTTCCATCCACTGAAACGCAAGCTGCATCCCCACTTCGTAACCTCGCTGCACGTTCTGCCTGCATCTCCTTCAGTGTGAGCCCCTCCACAGTATATGGCTTCATGTCAAGAAAAGTTGGGAATTCAAAGCGATCTTTTAGCTTCAGTCTTTGCATGCTCTCGTAGTCAAAGTCAAACCGTTTCAAGTGAATTACTAGAGCATGTGGAAGGTTCTTCACACACACACGCTTCAGTGCATCCACTTTCACCCCACACTCCTCACAATAGTAAGCATTGTCTGCCTCGAGCAAGTCACCACGGACAAATGATTCCAGGGATTCGAGTAGGTTCCGCTTATTCTTCACATCAACACTGATGGCTGCAAAAGGCTCCTCCCTTTCACTCCTATGAGGGCAACCTCTGCAAATGACCTGCCAACAACACATACAGAAAAAAAAAATGCAACATGAACAAGTGTTAGACATAAAAACACACATTGAAGTATGAAGTCAGGTGTTGGTAAATAGGGAGTCAAAGAGACGGCCGAGAGGCGAAACGCACGCGAGTCATGCAGTGGAGAACACAGGGAAGTCATAGCAGCAAACACATGAGAGACATACAATAAAGAACAAGGGAGTCGTGCAACACCACCATGAGCAGAGCGGATAGATGAAAGAGGCCATTGTGTATGTCGGTTTGCGGGTGCATGGATATACGTAATCTAGTTACCTAAGTCAGCCAAAGAGAGAGTACACAGAGCACGCTGTTTCCACATCGTGCACACATCCATGTACTTGATGGTGGCCCATGCCATTTCTTCCATTTCGGCCTGTTGTCCATTATGGTGGCAATCTTGCCCCTTATCAGCCAATCTCTCCAGAATGCTCGTTGTTTGGCTGCGTACTTTTCTGGCCTGTATTTCGATGCTGAGCATATCTTCCGACATCTGCTCTGGATTTCAGTCTCCACCATGTTCAGCAGTATGGTCCACATTTCCTCCCCTGCCACCTCTGTTCCTTCGATGGTTCCTGTACATCTGGACTTCCAAACGACCCACAGTGCCAGTTTCCTGAGTAGATTGAACCAGACCTCCTTACAGCCTTTGAGGTTATCGGGGGGTTGGTTAGAAGAAGAATGGTTAGGGAGGAGGTGTGGCGGGCAGCGTGCTGACAAGAGGGTGGACCATAGGTCCAGGACTTTATTCCAGATCTATGTCGCCTCTGGACCGAATAGAAGGCAGTGAGGGATATCTTCCGGGGTGTTGTTGTTGCACAGAACACACTGTTCTGACTTCTTCTGTGGAGGCAGTGGTTGACAGGGAGTGCTGCGTGCGCTATAAGCCACTGCATGCTGCGGATTCTGACGGGTATACCGAAGAGATATTTAGCTCAAAGGAATGTTGAAGGAGGTTGTGGAGTCTAGATTAATAATGTTTCGCCATTTCTCTATGAGCCTGGGGTTTCGGTCTGAATTTTGTAGCCCGAGGTTGTAACCGAACTTCACGTCGCAGTCGAAGATTGTTCTTGGCTTCCCAGTCGTACCCAGTTTCCATATCCATCCTTTGGGGTCAAAATTTAAGTCCTCGATGCTAAGCTCTGGTTGGAAGATTACTCTGGGTCTGGTCTGTAATACCCTGATCTTCCTGAGTAGGAAGGTTTGTAGGCACTCGGCTTAATTGTGGTTTTTGGTAGTGACATACTCAGAATTTCTAGTTCCTGGAGACTCTGTTTCGAGATAGGGTATGATATGAATTTGGATTGGTAGTTGGATGGGTCTGGACGGTTACAAAGGGGTAGGCTCTTTGAGGTGAGGTCTAAGAGACGAATATGCCCCAATTGTTACCGACTCAGCCAGGGCTCGATCCCTGGTCCGCGGGCTACCACCCACCAGGCTGCTATTTTATTCTGAGTTCCTGGTTCTAGACTGCTGGCGCCCTCTGCAATTGGAGCCCATTCTCAAATTCCTCCACTGGCATTTTCAGATTTCGATACTTGGCGCCATCCGGCATTCTGGCGCCCAGACGCAGACCTGCGATCCTCAGTTCAGTCCTGAGGCAGGCCGCACCTCGGCCCTCCAGACTGAGCCTAAGTCCGGTACTTAAGTCCGGACTCGAGCCCCGTTGGGGCATTCAGTCTTCGGCCTCAGTGCTTGTGCTTCAGTGCTGCCTTTGTGTTCGGAATCCAAGATTGCGACTTTGAGACTTTTGTCACTTCGAGTCTTCGTCCGTCGTGTCGAGTCGAGTCCGTGTCCGAGTCGAGTGAGTGTGTGTGTGTTGTGTGCTCTCACTCTCTCCCTCTCTCTCTCTCCTCCTCGACCTCTCTGCTCTCCCTCAGCCTCGTCACACTGGCATCGGAGCGGTCTTGCGACCCTCCCTCCCATCCTGTTCCGGCGCTGCCAACATCATCCCCATCACCATCGTCTCTAGCGCCGCCACGACATCGCCATCGCCGCTGACATTACCGCCACGACCGAACTACGTGCCTGCCGCCGTCGCCTCATCGTCATAGTCATCATTGCCACATCAGCAGCCGCCTCACTGGTTCCCCCCAGAGCTGGGCACCTGGCGCGCAGAGCCGCACCCACCTGCACCCACCCGACCCACAAGGTGATGGGTCGGATTTAGGTCTACATGAGCTGTCTTGGGCGGGTTATGGGCGGGTGCAGCAAGCATGCCTTTCTGGGTGACGGACGGGTGAAGATTTGACCTGGGTCACCCGCTGGGTGGGTGGAAGGCGGGTGATGGCTTGGCCTGGGTCACCCAACCCATACCCGAACCATACACCCAGGATGACCCGAAAATTATGCAACACCCCCCCCTTTGTGTAGTACGTCGGGCTTGAGGTTGAGAGCCAAAGACAAAAGTGCCTGATTCAGTTGACCAGGTCCTGATAAAGTAACACCAGTGCGAAAGAAAAAAGCGGCGCGCTCCAGCAGTGCAGCTGCCGCTGGGCAAAAAAAAAAATCTTGAAATATTTTCCTTTGAGAAGTTAATTCAGCTCCTGTTACTACCTTTGCTCATTTAGATGCTACTACTGTTCTTTCTCGGAATCTTGCTGCAAAGGGGATATATCCAGCAGTAGATCCACTTGATTCAACATCTACTATGCTTCAGCCATGGATCGTAGGAGAAGAACATTATGAAACTGCTCAAGAGGATTCTCTAATAAGCCCCACTTAATTGGAGACTAGTCTCATCGTTGATGTTGCCGTTGTTATAATAATAGGATTTTAGATGTCTTTGTTGCAATGCTATGTTGTCGATAAAATCGTGATGGTGTAAGGGACTGACATGGGCAGGCGCGGGCTGATGCGGGTGGGTGTGGGTGAAAAAAAAATAGGTATTGGACGCGGGCGGGTGATGATACTCTTACGGGTGTGGGCGGGTGTGGGTGAGGGCTTTTTTTGGGTCATGGGCGGATCGGGCATAGGGCTGAAATTTCAAAAAATATTTTGGGTGGGTTGGGTCGTCTAAAAGTAAAAAATGAAATTCTTGGGCCGGGTGGATGGGGAAAAACAAAAATTGGGCGGGTTGGGTCGAGGGTGAGGGAAAAAAAAAAATTGCCCACCTCTTCTCCTCCTCACTTCCTTCTTCCCCTTCCTGTTCTCCTCCTCGTCGTCGTCAACCCTCCATCTTCCTCTTCCTCGTCGTCACCTCCCCCTCCATCTTCGTCCCCGTCATCGTCAACC